GAAAAAAAAAGGACTATTACTGACTGCAGAAGTGGGCAACATGGCGATACCACAGACAGACACAATGACTGAACTGTAGCTATGCTAAGTATCCATAGCTAAAAACCTACTTTCTGGCTGAAGCCTTTTTTTCCTGTTACAGACTGTAACAATGGGCTTAAGGTTAGTGGTATTAAAGTGCACAGTACATTTTCTTCTAAACAATCTGTTGCTTTTTGATTTCCACAAGTCTCCCCTTATTCAGCAGCAACAAACCATGTTCTCCTGTTCTTCTCCTGAGCTGTACCCAACTGTAGCTTCACTAACTTCCCAAGTAAGATAGTGAGGGAGAAAGGCAACTGCTCATAAAAACAACAAGGAAAACTTTTTCCTGGTCTCTGGGACAACAGACAAATCACAAAGACAAATCTCTCTGAGCACCTCTCCATATGCTCTCCATCCCCCTATGTCCTGCAGATCGGTGCTCACTGTGGTCTGTGCAATATATACCTGGCAGCACGAGAAGAGGTCCCACTTTCATGATAAAAACTAATGGTAACCTGTATAGATACAGGCTTGTGCCTCTGCTGTCAGGACTCCAGTAAGCCCCAGTGAAATGCAGGAATTGCCTACCCTGGCTCCATACATGCCAAAAATCCCACAACGTTCAACAAAGGAAGATCAAGGGTGTTAACCCCGATGCCCCAGCTAACTTAAACCAAACCTTGTTCCCGGTACCCACATTCGGAGAAAGACGCCCCTTCCTCGTCTCTGAATGGCCACCCAGCATTAGTATCTCCCCATAATAATTCATGGACAGGCTTCAAATGGCACAGGCTTGGAAGTGAAGGTTGACTCAGACATGATTATCCCTTTCACCAGCCTAAGTTAGAAGTGCAGACAATAGACACACAGACCAATAGATGCACTCTGACCTTGATGTTTCAGACCACCAGGCTGTTAAACAAGAGGCAGGACCCCTGTGGTCATGGGAATCTCCAGCATGTGTTGAACACTGTAACATTATATTTATTGGTGAACTTTGTCTAAGCAATCTTTAACATTTTTCAGGTGCGTGCAATCTGCTTGCAGGATTTTATGCATTCTGTATACACACATACATACACACAAGCGTAGGTGAGGAAGAGAAAGAGATAATTCCTCCTAACAGCTTTTAAGCGACCCGTTATCATCAGCTGCTACTGCCTGCAATTTTTCTTGTATTGCCCCTGTTCCTTTAGTGCAGTTGATAAATAAAAAAATTGCTACTGAGCCTTCTCATACTGTAAGCAGATAACAGCAGTTTTGATCCAGGGCTCTATTTCCTAGATACTCTGCTTAAAAAGAGCAAAGTGGTTTCTGAGGGCTGGGAGTGTCCGAATTGTTGATTCCTGTGCTCCAGAGAATTCATCTTAAGTAGACAGATTTGCCAGGCTTAGCTCATTCTCTATATATCTTTTCTTCTACACATCAAACCAGGACTCAAAGAGGGTACGGAACAAATTAGTTTCGAAGGGCCAGTCTTCCAGGAAGGCTTGGGACACCTGATGTCTGACTTCTATATGAGCTGGCAGATTTGTGCAAAGAAGCGAGAACAGCCATTAAAATCACGTAATTGTCCAATTTGCCAAGTTATTTATCTTCAAAATGAGACATTTAACATGTCCTCCTATACTGATGAGTTTTAGGAGCCGAGAATAAACACAGTCCTAAAAAATAAAATCCATATCCAGATAATGCAGCTGGTAGTTAATGATTACAATATGTGACACTTCAAATATACCAAGTCGATGACATTTAGCTGATTTGTCTTCCCTATTTTTTTTGCTAAGCAGGCTGGCAAAAGAAGAAAAACGATTGATCTACTAACAAGTTTAACACAACCTTGAAATAAATTACATTCAAAAGCTAGAAGCCTGACTCAGTTTAATAGTTAAATCATTTATTCCTAGGCTTAAAAAAAAAAAAAATCCTGCCCTGAAGTCATTATCAGCATGATCCCCTATTTGAAGTCTTGCAAAATGTTCAAGGAACGGCCCTTGTGATTTGGCCAAAAGGAAACAACACGCTCAGCGGCTCTATGCAGGCCAAACAAAATGGAGACTCCCAGTATGAGAATATTAAATTATTATGCCTTTTGCAACAGGGGGCACAATTGTTAGTGGCCCCCTTCCTCTGATGGCCAAGCTACGTTCTTCCCTGCCGTGAGCATTCATTGTCATACCTAATATTTGCATGCTTTGATAATAATAAGATTGTCAAGATAATAGCAGGGAAGTTTCAGTAGAAACTCAATTTTCAAAAGCCAGCTGTGCACGGCCCCAGTCACTTTTTTCTAGGAAGATGCTTTTAACAAGCAAAATTAAGCCTTACTCTTGAGAAAAAATAAATTATTCCCCTCCCCAAAAGAAGAAGAGAAGAAAGAAGTTATTGGAAAAGAGAAGGATGAAAACCACTTCCTGGAGAAATTATTTTTACATAAGTTTAAACTTCCTTTTGTTCCCTAAAGCATTTTAGTCAGTGCAAGCAAATAATACTGCAAGCAGAAGAACAGGTCTTAAATCAGAGAATAATTACCTTTGTGAGCTTTATTGATTGCACTGATCTAGCTGAAAGAGTTTGGGCTTTTCTCTCTCATCCACCTTTTTGCATGACATAACCATTCAACAGCTTAAATGAGGTGGGACATAATGTGATTTTTGGAAAGAATGGTAGTATTGTTGAAAACCACAAAATCTCTATTTCTTTGGGTTTTGGCAAATTTGCTTCTTTGTGCACACAAAATAGTGGTTTAAAACAAGAAAAATAAAAGAAAAAGAGAAAAGCCCACTCCCTTCTCCCTTTTTGCCCTGTATCCTTATTTCAGATTGTGTCATTTTGAGTTATCAAGGCTGAGGAACTTTTAGGCTCTTATCAACAAACCTCTGCAAGGGTACGCATCCTGGGCCAAGCCCCTGGCAGACAGCAAGCCACACCTCTTTCCTGTGTGTTGGGAGGGCCACACACCAGCCTACAGCAGCTGAAGACCTGTGCTGCGGCTAGTTGTTAGGCAGTCCTCACAAGTCTCTTCAGAACTTTTTGCTCGTTTGGTCTGGTTTTATGCTTTATATGGTTTTCTTTTTAAAAGCATCTAAAGCAAAGCATTCCAAATGCTATATAACCCACTCCAATTCACTTGAGACACACAAGTCCAAATTATGCCTCTGGAATCAGTAACTGCCTTTCTGTGAATAAATTGCACGGAGATACACAGGTCCATAGTGACTTCAGCACTTAAGACATTTCCTTGTTACCCAAGAGAGAGGGATAGAGAAAATCAGAGACAAAAACATCCTTTCACCAGGACAATGACTGATGCAAACCAATCCCAAGCTAAGCAGACCATCACCCAATCTTGTTGACTATGCCAGTTTAACTGGGTCTCTATAGTTATTTAGTATAATTAAGTTAATAAAGAACACTTCATAGAGTCCAAAACTCAGGTGATGAAATGCTATTACCTTTCAGGTCATTTTGGAGAAACAAGAGGGCTCATTAGAGATCTGTATTCTGACCCACTGTAGAAAGGAGTAAAGACCAAATTCAAATCTTGGGCCTGCCAGCAGAGATCCGTTCACTGAACTCCCCTGCATTTTCTTCTAACTGTATAACAGAAAACAGGACAAGTGTCCATAGTCTGCTCCATTCTTTGCGTGTAGTTTTCCCTGTAGTTTGGAAACTACATGGCTTTACATATTTCTGGCCATTGTATGCTTCCAGAGAGTCAGAAGCAGCTAGAATACGTGTGCAGAAACCTAGCTATTTTTCAAATGAAAACAGGGATGTGTCTTTTCACTGACTTGTGCCCTGTGAAATTATTTACACAGCAAGAAATGAGCACAAATTACCAACAGGTCAAATACCTTCACTGAGTTATATTCACAGTGCACTGCAGCCTGAGCAGGAATTATCACAGAAGATGCAGCACAGAACAAGGGCAGAAGCATACAGGGTTGCCTAGCTGCAGCCTCAGGCAAGACCTACTGGAAAGACATTTCCTCCAAGGTGAGAGTTCCCCAATGTGGCCAGGAAGCTGCCAAGAGAGTGACAATCTGTAGAAGCAAACAACAGCAATAAGCTGAGATACTAGCTAACTTGAGACTCCTAAGATAAATGAGTACTGAAATAAGAACGGAAAGTCATGCTTTCACCAGGACTGGCTTCTTCAGAGAGGTCTGAAGAGCAGGTCACAGTGCTAAGAACTCATCATTTCCTTCCACTGAGTGATCCAGACAATGGTAACTCAGCACTATCTCCCCTATTAAATAACGACAAAGAAATCGTTTTGCAGATGTTTTCAAGTACACCCCATTATTCTACTAGAGTTTAGACAGACATATATTTATGCAAACATTTGCTTTAACACACAGCCTTGCTATTCCAAAAAGCTCTAATCTAACGCAGCAGTTTGGCTTAACACTTACCTGATTCTGCCCTTGTCACTGCTGTGCATCTGCCAGCAAAGCCAACTTCCATGCCCAAGAGATTAAGTTATTTCTTTGCTTTCTGTGCTCATTTACCAAACTGCAGCTTAAGAAATCCAAAGCACATCCAAAGAATACCTATTTGCAGTAACAACTGTCCCATTGCATGAACGGCATCTTTCACTAAACCAAGGTGCAAATTGTTCGGATTCAAGTGGTTACAGTAAAATAACGTACTGAACATATTTATAAAGGCACACGTACACACACACACACAGAGAAACATATACATGCCATGAAAGAAAGTAAGTGTTCCATAATAGAAAGCTTGCAATGGGCAATTAAGCTTCCAGCAGCACACACCGATTACAGGAATAACTTTGTGGCCTGAAGTCGTTGTTATTTCTGTATTATACCTTCTCCCATTGCTTGCTGTCTGTGGAGTTCCATCAGTGTAAAAGACAGCAGAAAACTAGGTCTCCTTAATTCACTGCATTAAACTCCACATTTTAAACAGTGAGATTTGTCAAAATTGAACTTAGATATTACATAAACAAGACTACTTGATATGCTGTTCTCTTTGCAGGTGAGAAAGCACTCAACGCATATTCATTACCATGGTACTAGCTCTTGGAAAAAAGAATCGGAAGCTTCTTCTGTGTCAGCTGGGATCCCTGGCCTCCTCTAAGAGAAGGGAGGAAAAGCTGCATAAACAACCAGTACTGGAGGCTGCACTCTCAGCTGAAGTCAAGACAGTGGAAACAGCTTGAACTCCCTGACAACTTTATTTCTCTCCCTCTCTTGCTGGGCCTGCGCTCCAGCTTTGAATTCCTGATGTGATGCTCAATTGTCCTCTAGGTGCTAGAAAGCTGACGTCATCATGCCTTTCAGAAGGAAATCTGTTATTCGGGCATGAAGAAGAAATGGAAGGGGTAGGAAGCAAGGAACAAACAGTAATTTTTAGTCAAAAATATAAGAGTCCCTCAAACAGCATAAATCAATTGTGGGCTTCGCTGTGGTTTTTCCCCTCTTGGACAAGCACAACAGCATGCATTTTGCTGAGAGCTGCTCAGTCTGAGGGGCCAACATTATGACTTCCCACAGCATAACTTTATCCTAAAGCTAGCCGATCGGTTCCTCTGAGAGGGGCAGTATGGGACAGAAAAGGAAAAGGGATGGGGAGGGGGGAGGGAGGGGGGGAAGCTTTTCTTTACACTTGTGCTGTTCTGAATGCGGACCATCTGTGCCCCCAGCTGGAGTGCTGGAGATGGTCTGGCACTTGAACCACACCATATTTACAGATCTAAACACAAATGGCTACTGCCTGATTGTTTCATGATTCATTAGTCAGACAAGCTCTCCTCTCCCGCCAGCACAGCTGTTACAGAGTAAACCTTTGTCACTTAATAGGCCTGATTATTACTTTCCATCAAAGGTATTGATCTGTGTCATCTCTACTTAAGGGAAAAGGGGAGAAGCGAAAAGGGGACCAAAATGTGTCGAGAAAACAAGAAAGGGGGGGAAAAAATTTAAAAAACAATGACATTTGTATGGTGACTAGAGGCACCGGTCAATACGTTTAATCTCTCCTGGATGTACTGTATTCATGTATTCATTTACCACAGTGACTAGGTTACTCATGGAGATGAAACGTCTCACATGATGTGGCATTCCTTGCACTGCACCAGACTGCTGCAGTCACACAATATGGCCATGCATATAATTGGTCGGCAAAATACACAATGTGAATTAACAAATAGCATCTAAAAAAATAGAAATCAATTAAGTCGCACACGCAGCAGAAGGTAAGAACACAGGTTCCTCTCTAAATGGCAGGAGATAAAGAAATCGAGAGCGGGATTGTCGAGAATCATCCCAGGGTTAAGTCCTCATCCATCGAAGTCAGTGGCACCACCCCAATTTGCACCAGCTGAGGAGCTGGCCCTTTTTGTTCAGCAAATGAGTGCAGGATAGGATGCGGTCTGTTACATAATTGTGATGCAGAGTATATTTACCACAGCTTGAGTGCTTCTACTTGCTCCAGTAGCCGCCTGACAAGCTGCCATTGCACCAATTGCAGTGTTATTGCGAATTCACTCACTCCATTCATGGGACGAGATTTGCAACATCCAGATTGAGAGTTTCATTGCCTCTTTGATTCCCACGTCGTTATCAGCACCATTCTTACTTCTATGCTGTATTTGAGGTGGTGGCTGGTACCCACTATCCCAGGTAGACAGTTGAGAGCCACGAATGTGTCTCTGGTGGCAGGCTTGAGGGGTGGGGAGAGAGCTCTTGAATAAAGATGCTTTCACTCATTCCATTTTCCTTGCATTTAAAGCATCATCTCCAAGTCCTGAAGCCAAATCCCAAAGCCCTCATCCAGTCGTCTTTCGGAATAAGCAGCAGTGAAGATCAGCAAGAAATGCAGGAGAGAAAAGGCCCCACAGTGGAGACCACTGGGCATAGGCCCGCAGCAGCGCAATGGTGTCTCTACTCAGGCTACTACAAAGAGCAATAAAATCCAGAAGTGCCTGTTCAGAGGTGAAAAGGACATTTAGAACTGGTGTGAGTGCTTCAAGGACTGCATTCAGTTCTCTTGCCTGATTTGGGAACAGTTTTGGGACCAAACCCAAAACGAATGCTTGTCATCTATCACCGAAGATGTTCTTTCAGGATGAAATCCACTCCCCTTGTTCATAGTCTCAATAGGTTTGGGACAGGAAAAGGAATTATCTTCTTAGCCCTTTGGAGCCAGAGAAGCCCAAAACCCAAACCCATTCCCACACAGTACAGTATACCCTTTTTTATATGGGCATGCACACCTGCTATGTAACTCTGGTATCCCAAGCAGAAAGCAAGCTCCAGTGCCAAACAAGAAATTCCAGGATGGGACATCTGTCCTTTTCCATCTGAGGACAGAACAGATAAGAAATGCATAGGTCACTGGTAAATACTCAGTAGAGGAGATCTTCTAGATATTCTTATGCAGACTGTTTGCTGTGTGACCTGCAAGGACTGCCTCCCTTTTGTCACATTCCAACAAACCCCTTTATCAGCACCAATACCTCTGAAGAGCAGTCTTCAAGCTGCCTTTCCTCAAGCAGGAAGCAAAGAAAGTTTTCCTTGCACCAACACTCATGTTTTCAAAGCAAAATGGTCACTAAGATGTCACACAGGGACTATCAGTCATTTAAGGCAGAGCACTGTTGAGAAAAGGAGGAGAAACAGTTGGAACCAAAATGAGCAGTGTAGAAAACATGCTCAGATGCTCAGAGCACCACATTTTCACCTGAGCTTTGCCTGGCTCCAGGGCAGGACCTGCTGTGTCCCGCTGAGGTTTGCAGAGGGCAATGACAGACACTCGTGTTGGTGGACTGGGAAGCAACCCATGCTCTCCTGAGACACGCATGGGCATCTCAGCAGCTACGACATAGAATGGTCCAGTACAGTCCAGCTTCTATACAAAGCTCTTAAACAGACCAAAATATAAATATTTTTCTAGCTGTATCTGTGTCCTTAAGGAATCCTGGCCCTTCTACCCTGATACTTTCCCCCAGCCTCCTAAGATCCCATTTCTACCCACTCACTCCCACATCCCTATGCATATGCATTTTCTCTGGATGGAAGGGGAAAAAAAAATCAGAAGACTGCAGCACGTGACACCAAGCAAGAGTTGTGGCACACACAATCCATTGGAAAGTGTTGCTTGGCAATACTGCGTGTGCTCAGCTTCCCGCCAAGGGACCGGCGTTGTCCCCGTGCCAGGAAATCAGCCATTCAGTTAACAGGCAAAGCAGCAAAAGCAGCGGCCACAGAAGACGGAGAAGCAGAAGGGAGCCGTCAAACCCAAGAGACACGCTTGCTCTCTTCTCCTCATGCACTACAACAAATAGCAGGGGGGAAAGGGTGGGGGTGGTGAGTGAGGAACCAGAAAGATGCTGTAAATTTTAGCTTAACCCATGTATCTTCCTGATGCATCGAGGCAGAAAACTCCTTAGTCAGGGGTACAAGAGTGACCCAAAATGACATACCATGACAATATCCTTGCATTTAGGTTAGGAGCAAAAACCTTTCCATTTGTGAGTTGTCTTGGAATGGAAAAGGGTGACATTTTTATCACTGAATCATTTAGAAGTAGACTGAGCAAAACAGTCAGGAACAGGCTGTTCAGAATAATCCTGCAGTAGGCAGGTCTTTGCCATTGTTGATGCTTCATTTTCTTCCCTTGGAGATGGTGTTCAAGTCTGGTAGCTGGTGATGGGACTACAGAAAAAAAGCCAGCAAGGTATAGAGAAGAAGCAGTAAAATACTCCGATACCTACAAATAAATCCTTAACTTTTCAAAAACTGTAATTTCTGGGGATTTGCTGAGAGTAAGGTTTTATTACTGATTCATAGAAATGGGTTATCTTAGAACTACTGCAAATGATGCTAATCGCCTTTGTTATCCTTTCAGAAGAGCTGCTGCTGACACTTGCCACTGGACACACAGCATTAATTAGCTCTAGTAGTAAGACCTCTTCAACACAAAATTCAGACAGAAAACTCTTTTCTCTAGTATCTAACAAAACATGCCCCACCACACAAAGTTGCTATCTTTCTGAGGTCAACAGGCACTAATGGCCCAGGTGCATTACCCATCTGTTTCCAAAACTGAGTTCCTCCTTTCTCCCGGTGTTTAAAATAAAACCCTCTAACAAGGCTTGCCAGGCACTGATGACAATGACCTACACGCAAAGTGTGGTTCTGAGTTTTCTGAAAGATGCTCAGCTGCATTATTTTTCTCTCACTCATGCCTCTGTTGGTGTGCTTGGAACAAAGCTGAATTAATTCACACCTATATCAAGCAGAGGCTTCACAAGTCAGATCCAATGGAGTCAACTGACAGAGCTTGGCTGAATCCGAAGGACCTAACAGGTCTGGTGGGAAGATCTTTCCTTTCAGAAACAGTAGAATCACTGTAGTATCACTGAACACCTATGAGCCTTCATCTGCAGCTTTGAAAGCACTTCGGAGACATCCAGCAGAGCTCTCTGGTGGGGTGCCTTCCTAACAGGAGAGTTCTTCTGACCCTCTACAGTCAAGGGCAGGGGTGGAGGTGGGCTGCCTCTCACACAGGCAGAAAGACAGTTGCCTGAGGCAGCAAAATTCTTCCACGACTGGGCTGCACAAGTGGCTACAGCCTGAAGAAAGGGGCCAACCATTCTCAACAGATGCCCTCAAGCCGCATCGGAATGGGACTGTTTGTATAAAACCCCTCATGGCCAGTGATGAGAGGCTAAAGAAGGAGCAGAGTTCTCATTTTACCTTCCCATCCTGGCTGAGGCAGAGCTAAGGCAAGACTGCAGCAACATCCAACCTAGTCTGTCCCCAGATTTTCCATATATATGTGTTGCAGCTGGTATAAATTGCAGCAGACCTGTGTCAGGTTCCTTCTGCGAGCCTCGTGAAGTACTGCGTCTTGCAACTGAACTGTGTCATCAGCCAAAGACATCTTCCCTGGTAGTGGAGAGGGGGGAGAGAGAGGAAAAAAGAAAAAAAGGGAAAGCTTCAGGTCAAACGATTGATTACAGTTTTGAATTACAGGGGGCTATTGATTTTTCATTAAACACCATGTACTGCTGTAAAGCGGAAAAAAAGTAATTCATTGATCAGAGCTGTGGGCCATGTTCACTTATTGGCTTCCTGCCACATCCCATTATTCCCAGTTCTAAATGTATATTGAAGTCAGTTCATTCTAATCATTGCCTCCTGTCACCAGAAATGTCTCTCAGTAACTATTAGTTTAATCACCCCTTTCTTACAATGGTAATGAGTGATAATATCCAGCATTATGGCAGATTCATGAATATTATTCATTGTATTACAGCATTGCATTTCACAATGCTCCAGTTAAGGGTCTGTCAGCACTTCCATTACAAAGCCCCCAGGCCTGGGACTTTATCAATCACTCCTAAAAATTTGCTGCTGGCAGAAATAAGGAGCTAAGGGTGTCTCATTTTTGGAGAGAATATTGTTGGAACTGCTCTCTACAAAATCTTTCTGGCCACAGTTTAGCTGCATTAAATGAGTGCTGGAAAGAGGAGAAAAAGGGGGGAGAAAGAAGAGGAACTTTGCCAGCTCAAGCTGCTTTTTCCAATTGATTAAAATGCCATCATTTCAAAAACAGGATGATCTTGCTGTTACATTGGACAGCGATTCAGGAGATAAGCATTCGCTTCCTAGTGCTGACACTCGCAGACAGCACTACCATACTACCTTGCTGATAGTGACACTTCAAATGTCAGAATGTCTTCTTTGAAACCTTTTGACTTCTGCAGTATGTTTTTATGTATTCTGGCTGCCAGCTTCTGTGTTTGATATGTCACATTTCAAGAAAGGCACTTTCTGTATGCCCAAAAGTTGAAAACCTCAGATTTTACAAAGTAACTGCTTAGGTAAAGCCTTGTCCCGGGTACCATGACAAGTAAAGCTTTAGTAAAACGTTTGTGTTTGAGTCCAGCCTGGGGGCTTAGAGGGAAAATGGTCAAACTGGGGGGTTTACACCTATAACCATGGGGACACTTTTCCGTTTCCAGTGGCTATCCATAAAGATGTCACTGGAACTACATGCCCTAAAACTGAAAGCAGGTTACTATTAATTTCCAGACCCTGAGCTGAATAAGGTTTGCTGAGGTGACCAGTTGCTTCCACACTATTCTCAAGAAAGGAGAGGGAATGCAATAATTCAGGATTCAAAACCACAATATGATGATACGAGATAAACAAAGCAAAGAGAAATCAACTCCCATCTGCTTGCACCATCAGAGAGCCTGGTCTGAAATACGTAACAGTGACCACAAAGAATACTTTTATAAAAATCTCCAAGGGGATAATAAATTTTAAATGCTATTTCCTATGCTTAAAAAAAAAAGTTGCAACTTCAAAGCCTCAAAGAAAAAAAGAAGCAACAGGAACTTCACCTGGCTTCAGTCTTAAGCTACTTGGGGACTTTGTACAGTTGCTGACTTTGTATTAGTTTTCCAAATGTCAGAGGTATCTCTGATACTCAGGAGCACATAGTTTAACTTGGCATTGGCTATTTGAAACCACTCTCTGAAAAGCAAGTATGAGCTTAGCATATTCTGTAGGGGGTCCAAAATAGGTACAGAACAAATCACACAAACAAACACACATACACAGAGTAATAAACCTATGACATTATAATATATTATAAATAATACTGTAAATTATTTATTTATAAATTTATTGTTACTTATTTATTATACTCCAGTATATGAAAGCATTCAGAAAAGAACAGCTCCATTATAGGAGAAAACATGGAAACAAAACAGATGAATGCCAAACTTAAACTTAGCCCTCGCACTAATTAGCCAGAATTAACATGAGATACACGCTCGTCAGCACTCACAGACTGATGGTGGCATCACTAATGACTTTTGCCTGCCACTGTGAGGGTACACCCTAAGCCACTGAATCCAGTCTCAAACGCATAAAGTACTGGGAGTATTCACAGACAAATCCCTACACAAGAGCCTTCTATGACACACATGCAGGCCAAGTTTTGCCTTACTTGTTAAAGCTTTAGCTGCTTGCTTTCACCACTTAGTCCCACAGAGGTGCAAGTGCTACCCTTCCATCACCATTTCAGTGTGACTAAGGTCACACCAACTGGTATTCACTGTCACATCTACCACAGGTAAGGGGTGCTCAAGGACAAACGAACAGGGGCAGGCAGGGCAGAGCGAAAAGAACTGAAGAACACCATGTTGCCCACTCGAGGAAGAGGGACCACTCTCAGTGAAAACATTTATGTGAAACACCCAAGGGAGTCTCTTCAGCAGGGGTCCTTGGAAAATGAGTTCCAGCTACAGGCGGAAAAGCAGTATTTCATTTACTTACTCATGTTTTCTTGCAAGAAGTGTCTTTTGCAATGTGTTCCGATACATTGCCTCTCCCTGAAGCCAACCTCCTGCTGAAGCTCTTCACAGTTTGTTGCGAAGGAGAAGCTGAAGCCTGCTAATTCCTGCTTTTGAGTCCAGAGCCTGTACTTGAGAGGTCAAATGGGGCTGAGAGTGACCATCTGGACAGGAAAGAAACAGCAAATTCCAGCCACAAACTTGCTTTTGTACACTGGTGCTCTGTGGCTGCAGAGCCAGAAAGACAGTTCCTACAAACAATGCAGTAAAGGCAGTGGCAGGCCTCTGTAAATAAGTTCTTTTGAGGAAAAAGGCTAATGGGTGGTTTATAGTATGTGAGAATAAGTTAACGGAAGGCTGCAGGGCTGGCAGTAATCAGGTTAAAGGCATCAGGCGAAGCCCAGAGGGAGCTCTCAGTGCTTAGAGGATGCTGTCAGAATAAATAACACTTTTCCTTACTGGACACAGGCACAAAAGAGCAGCTTATCCATGCCAGGTGTTTATATGGCTCCCATTATCAAGTAAGCACTTCGCAATCTTCACTGTGTTTACCTTTCCCTAAACTCAAAACTGTAACAGCAAAGTCTCTGGAGAACAGGGAGTGATATTGCCTGGGTACATTTTGAATATGGCGGTGAAAATCGCACTGGTGAAGCCAAAGAAAGTAAGACCTAGATTGTCAAAGGCAGTTTGGCCTTTACATCCCCCAGAAAATCACTTGAAAGTCAAAGTGAAAAGATCTCTGAGGATTTTTACCTAAGTGACCAATCCAAGTTCACACAAGGATTCTGCAGCAGAGCAGGATACTTGCCTGCCCTGTCTTCAAAGAAATATTCCTATCGTTTCTGCTAGCAGAAGTACAACCCCTGTAGATGGGAACACTTGTTTGGATGCAATTTTCTTCTTTATCCTTCAGAAGCAGAGATGTTCTCCTGGCATCCTGCATTTGCATGGCATTCACTTAACCTTACAAAAAGTTAGAGAGAGATCAAAGCTGTTAGTTTGGCTGCCTGTACATTCCTTGTCTCCCAAAAACCGCCGTGCCTGCAACAGCCAGGTCATTTAAAATGAATTGGTTGATGCTATTAAATCTACACCCTAGGAACGAAGCCCTTACTGGCAAGTCCTGTTTTTTCCTCCAATGCCCATACCTTGTGCCAAATAAACAGCGTTCATTTCACATCATTTGCAAAGGACAGAAATCCTCTGTAGAGCTGCAACAAACAACCTGCCTCCCATGCCAGTATGTAGCACACATATCTCGGGGTAATAAAGCCTTCATTTCATGCTTCAGCACACCTGATCTAAGGCTTGGATTCAGGAGCATATTCAACAAGAGTTCAGACTCCACAACAGCTCCCACCTAACTTCAGTGTGAACGCCTCCACATTTATTCAAATTTTTAACATTCAGACAGGTTTCCCAAGGGAAAAAGAAAATAAGAATCATTCGGACTTTGTACCTTCCACTTCTCAAGTAACTTTTGCACATATTTTTTGCACTGTACCCAAAGCTAAAAGAGCACTAATACTCAAGACAACTAAGCTCCAGCAAACAGTATGGGAACAGGTGACTGGTTGCAGAAAAGGAACCTGTACCTTCTTCAAGAGCAATTTATACCAGATCTTCAGAGCTGACCTCTTCTCTCTCATGCTAGCTGTTTCTTACAGTGTCTCATCATCAGTCCATGCAACTGGGCTTTCAGAGCCCAAGAGGATGCAGAACACCATGAAATATGTGAGTGCTTGTCAAAAGCACAGCCTAAATAGTTACAGTGACATAAATACAACATCAACAGCTGCTGTACCTTTCAGTTCAAGGTACGAAAGAACAGCTGATGTAAATTGTACCAGTGTGCTATCAACATAAAACAACAGGGCTCGATATACTGCTGCAGGCCCCAAGCACTCCACATCTGTCTTTACACCAGTGTGAGTTTGACACCCATAAGTTCCAAAAATAAAATACTGTTTGCAAAGGGAATTGTTTTTGCCCTGCATCAGAGAGCTCATACCTACAACAGGGCAGAGAGACAGTACTCTCTTTGCAGGCAGCCATTAAGGAATTAATGTAAGGAAGCAAGAAGCAAATATGATGATAATCTCTCCAGGAAAGTGCTTGTCAGAACAAGCCTCAGTCCAGCTGGGTGTTTATGCTGGCATATAACCTCAAGCACCAATTTGAAGAGAGCTGCTTGCAATCTTCAAGTTATGCACATACTTAAGCTGTACCATATACTAGGGCATGCTAAAACTGATTTACTGGATGCTGCCTCACCACACCATTTCAACTAGACTAAATGATGTTGCTGGCCAGAGCCAGCTTGGGGCTCAGCCTTCACTCCACCACAGATTTCACCATACCTATTACCACCTTGATACAAACACAGACATTACCTCCCCACTCCCACCCTCTTTAGGTCAATGCTTCAGGGCTTTGCATGACGTGGATCTGAACAAGTACAAAGAATTCAGGGTACATGTTGGCAGAGCGCATCACTCCAGGCCAAGCCTGAAGCATGCAAACCACCACATTGAAGTCTATCCCATACCTAAGCAGCCAGCTGAACTGAGCCCTGAAGTCACACGAGCTGGAAAACAAGATGGTACTATGGTCTACTCCATGTTCATTCTGCAATGGCACCACCTATTCCGGACACCACTGGCAGGGTCATCGATATCCAAGGACAGCCCCAGTTGCCTTACTCAGTCTCGAACCTTCAGGTGCAAACTTGGCCCTAGGGAATGACTGGAGCAGAAGCAGAGCAGGGCCAGGCACAACAAGCATTTGTGGCTATTAGTGAGAACTGCATATTGCCAACCATTATGAAATACAAGCAAATACCAAGTGAAGCTTTAGCCAGTTTAGATAATCCTGCAGGGAATACTCCAAACAGAAACTAATACATATGCAAGCAATAGCAAGCTGCCTGGAAAACCGAGCATTTTGCCTTCAGTGTCAGATAAAATGCAACACTTAAATTGCCTTTGGCCTAGCATAAGTGTATTATTTAACATACATATACCCTCAAAAGTCTGTTCCTGAATATCTACACAGGTTTTATCCTCTCTTCAAAGTTTCAGCACAGGAGGTCAATATCGTGCTCGGGGTCTGAATTTAGAGCAACTCCTGCTGCCTATCTGGAAAAAGTCCAGATTTTTCCCTAAGTAACTGGGAGCACAGCTTGCCCACGCAGAGACATCTCTCAGCCCCAAGGTTGTCAGCAGTCACTTGGGATTTCTTTGCAATATGCAGAATTTCTGTGTTTAACCATCCTGCATTGTACCGCTGGACTTGCATTGTACTCGATCTGCTCGCTCACCCACTCCTGCTGTTGGTGTCAACTCGATTTGTCTCTCCCGCCACAACCCTCTTCTCCTCTTGCAGGGGGGCGGGCTCGCTCTCCATTGTGTGATCATGCTGCATATGTTTGTAAAACACTAATGTCCCAGAGAAAGGGAGCGGGTGAAGGCCCACATGCGACATAATAGCATTGCTATGCCAGGAACAAAACATCCCCAAATGAGGGTGGTCGGCAGTACAAGTGGCTATCAGAAAGTCAGTGCAAAATTCAAGAGGCTGAGCACTTTCAATTACGATTCAAATCTGCCATTTAGTTCATCTTGTTTATTTAGGCATTAAAAGCAATTTTCCAAGCACATGTCTGTCACATTTAGACACAATGGACTAGCCTGTAATTAGGAAGTATATGACCTCACTGGCTTTAATTGGGAGAAGCCTGCATCCAATCCGTGTACCAGATGATAGAAGGCAACTGGCATTAGAAGGGAAGTTGAGCGTCAGCTGGTAGAATGCACACAATACCTGCTGTAATGGCTCCCAATTCATCATCACCCCCTCTACCATCAGGACTTTGTCAATGGTTTCTTCATCAATTTGCTCGTGTACCACCTCAAGAGAGCAGGAGACAGATACTGCATGTTGAAGAATGACATTTATCAGGGGCCGGGAGAGGAAAAATAAATAAATACACAAATAGCAGAAACGGCAAATTCTGCTTTGGCGAGGGAGCCACACAGGCATGGGGCCAAAAGCCAGGTCTAGTTGTGGAGGCTATAACTCTGCTAACTTTATACCTGCTTACCCAAGGCCAGAGTAGAGCCCATACTACTCACCAGGGCATGCTGTAGCTTAAGCATACAAGAAAAAAAAAGAAAAAAAAAATAGGACTAAAGCATCCCCAGCAGAAAGCTCTTATAAGGAAAAGTCCATTTGTTGTAAGAAAATGCAATAACAACAACAAACAACAAAATCAGCCATATATACACCCAATTGCATAAGAAGTACAATTTTGGCCTGGTTAAGAGCTGACAGAACTCTCTCTCTACCTCTATTGTATTTCCAGTTATTTCCATAATGCTGCACAGATGCTCCTGATTACTGGACAGGCCACATAACTATGCTCCCCACTCTCCCCCAGAGCTCTGAGATAAACAGCTATTGTCAGTTGCAAACCATCACCCTCCAAAGCGCTCTATGCTCAGACTCAAGGAGTCCTGACAACTGATTTTTTTTTATTTTTTTTTTTCAAAATAGGAAGGACAGAGAGGAAAAGCTATTGTGTGTAAAAACCCTTGTACCACTTGGAGAAGTTCATCAATGAAAAGCCACTGCAAAAGGGTCTGGGTCTCCAGCATGAGCACATCCTAAATGAGGCATGCAGACAGTGCTGCACAAACAAGCATCCTTATAGCCAAATCTCTTTCTCCTATTGAGGAGAGCTGACTACTTAAAAGATCGAAGAAAAACGTATTCTAGAAGGAAACCCACCTCCTGAAAGCAATCCTCTCCTATCCTCTCTTGGGAGGTTGGTTTCTTTGCCTTTTTTTTTTTTTTAATTATCACTGTGGGTTTTTTTGTTTGTTTATTGTGACAGCAATAGGACCTGCAGCTCTGCTACATTAAGATGTGGACAAGTCCAAGAGACAGAAGCAAAGAACGTACAGAAGAAGCATTACAGAGAAGAGAGACTCACACACACTTAACCAGGAAGAATCTCCATTCACTAAAATCACATCCTCTGAGAGAAATGTTCTGGAGTTGACTTGTCACCTCCATTTGCTTATACACCCCTAAGAGCAGGTACTAGGTCAGCCAATGCATTTATTTCTCTTGTCTACATTGCTTCATCTCAAAGAAAAAAATCACAGATCTACTCACTGCTCTACAAGCAGCCCTCCTTTTCAGCTAACAGCATCGTATCATCAGGAAAGAAACAGGGAAGCTGAAAATTCAGAATTTCTGTACCTCAGCATTATCCAATATTAAAAACAAATAAATAAATAAAATAAAAATAGATAAACAGATAATTAGAGAGACAGATAGATTTTACCTCGATACACAAGAAAGGAGGGGGAAAAAAAGCTGAAAACTCAGAACCTTTTGCAGAATGAAATTCTCCTTTGATTCCTTTTTTTTTTTTTTTTTTTTTATTTTTTATTTTACCAAATTGGGCAGAGTTACCACCTCACGGTCACCCTGGAGGAGGGTAACCAACATCCCATCCTTTTGCAAAGCATAAGAAAATCATAAACCTGCAACTCCAGTAGCTGAGGGAAAAGGAAAGCTCAGGGAGAGGAACATTCTCCAAAAGAATGCATCTCCGAAGCTGGAGATGGTGTCAGCTTCTTCCCAACACCGCTGCATTGAGGGAAAGCCAAACATGCAGCTGGTTCTGGGGGACTTGGCAGCCCCACACATGGGCCATCCTGGCTGCAGATCCTGCATTTTGAGGGTGTAATCCAAAGGATATTCAAAACCAGGGTGGCTGGAAACAAGGTACCTCTGTGTCCAAGCTTTTTCCTTCTCTGCTTCCTTTAATCTCTAATTCTCTATCCTACCCAGACTTTCTTTTTGCATAAATTGTCATTGTTCCTCTGACCATACTTGCACAGGATTTACTTCAGAGAAGAAATACTTCTTCAATTGCAGCCAGATGTTTTTAGGCCAGGTGAAATGCTACGTGCCTAACATACTTATCCTGGCACTTCAGCCTGTTGCTTTGCACACTGGCTAACCTTTCAGCACAACAGCAAGGCCCAGCATTTAACAGAGGTTTTACGAGGTATGGCAGAATATTTACAAAGATACTTTTGCTTCTGCTCAGGTGGGCATAAAAGGAGCTGACACACATGAACAACTAGCACCTCTTCTTTAAAAAAGTGAATGATTTAAGTGCTACCTACCTGCCGCTGCACTGGAAGCTGCTTGTGGTCAACTACAGCACAATGACAGAAGAGGTTCCAGGAATATGGGATAAACACACTTTGTCATTACTTGGAATACAGTGTGGAAATGTGTAAGCTGATAGATGAAAATCTCTAGTTTCTACTGGAAACATTTTGTACAGGAAACAAGGGCATTCCCAGCAGCCTTCCACCTGCTTGCTCGCTGTCAGACCTTCCAACTGCTTGGTCTTTTGAGGCTGACAGTTTTTAATGGGGCAAGAGAGAGAATTTAAGCAAATTAAGACAAATATTCAGGCACAAGAAAATGCACCAGGTAGGAAGAAATACAGAATGAAGCCACCTGGCTATGCCACATAACAGTCTGATAGTAATTCTTAGCACTATTAATTGGTTCTCATGCTGAAAAACTGGCCTCCAAACAGGCACCCCAGGCCTGCACTGGCTGCAGCAAGGCCTCTTACTTCCATTTGCAGCTCCCTCCTTCATGCCTAAATTGAAATAATGCACTTCTCCACATGCTTTCTGTTTCATTTCTGTCTGCTCTTGGCCTGCTTCAGTTTTCCTCTGGCAACCCAGCTCACTATGTTCATCCCGTGCTCCTGTCCCAGTTAGCCAGGGGTCGCCCTGAAAGACCAAATGATGAGGGAGAGCCAAGCTGGTTGCTGCAGCGTGCCCGATATGTACTCGGGGCACAGCCAGGGGACAGGCCCCAGCCTAAAACCACAGCTTTAGGGATGCAGAGTTGGGCCAGTGAGGGAGAGTGAAGCTGCCTCCTCGCTGTTTCCAGCAGACATAAAACACGATTCCCAACGTGTGCTCCTGATAAAGAGGGGCTAGGGAGTGGAATTAACAGCCATCTAGCGTATCGTGTACTAGATTGATGGGTTCAAGAAGTAGCTAGAAAAAAATAATACTGCATGCAAAGCAAAGGTGCAGGAAGAGGCTTATTATGTTATTTGTGTAAGAGGAAGGGAGCAGGCGATGGGCCTCGAGGGCCTGCAGAGCAATTAAGCTCCCGTGCTGTTTTTGGATAGGCAGGGCTGGCCGCGGCTGCGACTTGTGTGCAAGCCCGCAGCCATGGCAAGCTCCTCTCCGGAAGCCGCCGCCGCTGCTGTGACTCGGAGGCATCGCCTGCGAAAGCTGTCAGCACCACAGCCAGTTATTCCACAGCGGAGATGGTGGCGGAGGGGGTGGGGATGGCAGCGGGTGGGCCGTGCCGTGCACGGACGTGTGCCCAGGAGCTGGGGGGGCCCAGCAGCATCAGGAGGGGGTGCCGGTTGCAGGAGACACAGTGCCCGGCATTGCACATGGCTAAAGAGTGGAAGAGTACATCATTTCTTTCAACTCATCTTGCATTCAGCCAGCTGCATATAAATTTCCCTCTATCTCATCAAGCTCTCACTGTTTGGCCTCCTCTGACTGATATTGGCTCATCATACTTAATCTAGGGTGAAATTTCCTCGTCTGAGCTAAATTACTCGCAGCCATCAAGGGAAACGATATTTATTTTTCGTGGGGCTAATGACCTGTCCCCCGGACCCACCCACTGATGGTTATTTACTAGGGCCCAGATGCTTGGGCTCAAAATGAGTGCTAATGTCAGCGGGGGCCATTTCTCATTCAGGTCTCTGATTGAATTGGAGCGATCCCATTGACATTGACTCTGTGACTTTTAAGGCCATTACCCTCAGCAAGAGATGAACCTCTCATCATTGCTCCAACACTGACAGCTGATTAGCGACAAATTACAAGCGGGAAGAACCGAAGACTTCGTTGGGTGAGGGTGGGAAGTGGGGGGAGAAGAGGAGGAGGGATTCGGAGGAGGCAGGGGAAAGCGCACGGTCGGGGAAGGTAGAATAAGTAGCAAAGGAGTAGGAAGGAGTGGGAGGAGAGAGCGGGGCTGAGACGCTGATGCAGCCTGTTGGCACCGGTACTGCTCCGCAGGCTTTCGCTGAATGTAGAACAGGGCTTGGAGCCAAAACTTGGCGCAAGCCAGTGAAGACGCACACCGATCGCAGGGGCTTTGAATGGAAGGGCCGGGAGGAGGAAACTCCGCTTAGGGGTAGTGAGTGAGGAACAGACAACGGGGCCAAGCCACAGCTGGGTGCCCCAAGTGCCACCAGAGGGGACAGGCAGAGAGCTCAGGGGCTGTGCTCAGACTCTCGCAGGAACCACGGGTCCCATGAAGACAGAAAAATCTCCAGGAAGGCAAAAAGCAGTTTCTATGGACTGAGAGCTCTAGGACCAGGTAGGGCTCTGCCACCAGCTCTCACTGCACTCCCTCTGCCCGTCCCCTCACCTTGCTGCCTCAGTTTCCCCACTAGAGAGCTGGGTGACACCGACCCAGGCAACATCTGCCTACAGCTATCAGCCACCAATGCTGACACACAAAACACTTGCCAAGCTGACGGAAAAGCTGCCTGACAGCCCCGCTACATGTTTCAGTCACGACCCTTGCATTTTCAGTGTTCCTAGTTAGAGGGCAATAAATAGCACAAACACAGCCATAAACAATCATAGCACACCGCCATCGTGACATATTTTGCCAAGCACAGCAAGACCCAGGTTTCTTCTTTTACTGTTATCACAGAACCTAAGGATAAAGTTTTGAATAATTCTGGGCTGCACTCACAGTTTTGTTTCTAACCCCAGAAATGGATCCGCTCCTGATGTGAACCACAGCTGCCGGCCAGTAACACGCACCAGCTTTCTGTATCAGCTCCTGCAAGAGAAAGGAGTGGATGTTACGATCAAGCTACCAGAGAAAAATTCTATCCCTTAAAAATGCTACCCACTGTGGATACGGTTCTTCTTGTCTGGCTGATTTGTGATGCAGACTTGGCTCCCCCAGGTAAAAGGGAATATTTTTAGTGACACAATTAATATAAATGGAGCCATCCTGAAAGACATTACAAGGAGGCTTGTTGCTCTGCAGTCCTGCATAAGCAGGCTCGGAGATGCTTTACAGCTCACAAAACACCAGGCCCATTTAAAAGAACAAGCAGCATGAAATACAAACAGAGAAAATGCTTGCAAGGCTGAACTGCTACGGTCACAAGAGCCCTCCCTGAATTAAAAACTGGCTTTGGACACTTGGGCAAACAAATGCAGTATGCCTAAGTACAGCCACGGCATGCCGTGTGAGCAGCTGAGCTGTGATTTCTTCTAGTCGAGATCTGAAAATCCCAATGGAGTTTCAACAGCAGCCATGTATGTCTGAATCTCACCCCTCATCCAAAGACAAGTTGCTATGAAGGAACCTGAGCTTGTGGCCAAACCTCACCTTGCTGCTCCTTGACAGCTGCATCTGGCAAGTCTCCATCAGCATTTCTGAGCAAAAACACCAAAAGCAGTTCCATTCCTCTCCCTTCTCCTATCCTTTCACCCTGCTCTCCACACCATTTCTTTTACTGAGCTCAGGAAAGATACCGCGTACTCAGACACCCTACAAACCTCCTGGGGACTTGGCAATGCGCAAAGTATTGGACTAGTGTACAACTCACTGTGTTTTATGGTGTGCTTAGAACAACTGTGATCTCCGTTATGCTGATGCAAGTCTAGAGCTAATCCATTCGCATAGATTGAGCCAACCTGCAGCAGAGCTGCAGGCTCTGCAATCAGATTTGGCTCCTGTTGACAAATGGATGCATGGTTTGTTACAGTGACTGGCTAGCAACCCCAGACAGCGCCCTTCACATGTTACAAGCCCTCTGCCACATTCTGTCATGTGCGTTGAACACTTGGTGGCTTCCACAGAGTATCCTACAAGAGAACGCTGGTTGCCATTTTTACATGAACATCAGCCATCGCAAACACACCAGCGTGAAAGATGTACTAAGGTCTGAGCGTGCATCCTCTTGTCAGCCCGGGTCTGATCCTAATGGAAAGTTTCCTGGAGTACAGCCTGTGTTTTAAGACATCCAGGTAGCAAAACTTCCTAAGGCTGCACCTCCAAGACCTCAGTCCTCACTGAGATTCTCCTCATATTGGGAACCCAAAAATCTAGGATTGTCCCTTCCTCTTACCTAATTTTAATCTATGCACAGCGGCCCATCAGTATGCAAGGAACTCACGTGCCCCTTTAGCACCTGTCAAACTTGTGTTGAGAGAAAGCATTGCCATAAACCCTTTTCCCAGCATTGCACACTTCCCCTCTCCTGAGGCAGGATGATGTGTGCCTGGAGCAATCTCCGCAGAAATCAAAAAATCAAAACTTTCTCTGAAAAACAGACTGGGTTTTATAAGGTTTTTGTTTGCTCCTCATTGGATTCCTTTTTTTTTTTTTTTTTTGGTTTCTTCTTTAATGTGAGGACAAAACAGATTGACTAACATTCAGTAAGGTCAGAACATTCAGCTGTTCTGGTGTAGAGGAATGCTTACACCTTCCTATTTAAATCAATCTTTTCTCAAGAATAGGACAGAAACGGAGTATCATTTCCCCTGGGAATTCAATTCTTCAACACATGCAGTCCTGTGGAGCTTTTGTCCTCTTTTAGAACTGAAAAGATACTTAGGTAACTGAAACAGATCTAGTTGCCACTTGACCAAAAAAACGCTATCCATTCACTAACTGAAGCATCACATCACTTTGTTGTCAAACTCCACCTCAGAGCATACAAATACTGCAAAAGATCTTGCATCGTACCTTAAAAGAAAAATAAATGAATAAAAAGGAAAAGAGCTTTCTTGTAACACAAGTCTTTGGTCTTTTGAGCTAAGCTGACAGGTAAAAGCGGCTCTAATTTCCGGCTCCTGAGCAGCAGCAGGAAAGAAAAGCTGATGGAGTGCCTGACTGCCTGCGTGAGCTGCACAGTTGCTGGGGTGGGCCTGTATGACCACGCATCCAAACAGGCTAATGTTCCCCTTACCAGCCTGATTGGTCAATTTGGATGACATATTTTGGGCATCTCTGCTTACTCAGTGACTGCAACTTGTACACCGTCCACAAATCCCCATCTGCATCTACAGATGGTCCACTTTTTTTTTTTTTGCCTCTTCCTTTCTTCATTGTGTCTAACAGCTCTTCGGGGTTGCAGAAAAGAGAGACAGAGATGTGGTTTTACTGTACCCCGCTTCAGAAGCCAGGTAGACATTAAATTCAACTGATGTAAAGAAAACTGAAATTCTCAATCTGCAATACTGTTTATTCTGCGCTGAAAAAACTATTTCTCCTGTTCCAGCTCCCACACAAAGCACAACATAGCAGCAGCATCTAAACACTAACAAACATTTGCTGTGGGACAAAACAACCAGAAAAACCTTTCTGAGTTTTTTAGTATGTGACATTCATTTTTACTTTAATATTGCATGTACTTTATTCCACACTTTGTAAAACGTTCTCTTTTTCTGTGCCTTATGATGCATGACAAGATCTACTCAAATCTGGGGATACTTGACAAATGCTGAATCATCTGGTGAAGTGCTACAGGGAAACCAGGCTCCAGTTTTATCCGTGCTGCAAAATATCTACCTGTCTTCACATTTCCCCATTCATCTCTTTATTTTCTTCTTCACTGAGAAGAAAATACTGATACACCAAAGATTTAAAAAAATAAGATTCATCATTCATTCTGTTTTGTTTTGCTTAAGCTGTAGTGAAATTATATCAAAAACACAGGAAACAAATCAAATTGGGAAGACTAAAGGAATTTGTTCTCCATGGGCATACACTCACACATACACTGCTTATTCTGAAGTCAGGAGTTAATTTACGTGTATGGCAGTACCTAATGCTGTGCAGTTAGTGCTGTCAAGCAAGTTATTTTCAGGACTTGGGGCTTTTCGCCTATGAATTTAGAAAACGCATTTACCAGGACCAACCCGTCCTGCCTTGCTACATCCTCACTCCTCTTTCGCTCTGGAGGAGGCTGAATTTGCAACGATCTTTGCGCCTACATCCTCCTGCAGGATGCCACTGTCACTGCTGAGCTACGTTTTTCAACTATCATACGTTACATTCCCTTACACCACAAACATCTTTTCCTTCATCATTTTTCTGTATACACCCTTGGAAGAACTCTGCATTTGTAGGGGACCACCTTGAGCAGCCTCAGTGAAATTTAATTTACACTGATTCAACCCTGGAAACACACCTCATGATATTTTGCCAGCTGGGCCCCAAACTATTATTCCATTTTTAAAATGCAGACCATTTTGCTTTTAATCACACACTTCTATTTTGAGTTGGGTGCACTGTAATCCATGGAGTTCTGTAATTTTCCACTTCATTTATTTTGGATTTAATGAGCTGGTAATAATGTATATTTCCAGCAGACTGCCTGAAATGTGGAGCAGAAAGTCACAAAAGTAAAGAACTTAGGGAGGGAAAATTCCTGCCTGAACTTCTGTTGAAATAAAATAAACGAACACTAAGACATGAAATATTGAAGAGAAATGTGCCAGGTACCACTGCGTGAAAGCTGCGGATAAATGATGATTTGATTTCTTTTAAGTACTAATTAATATTAAAGAAGTCAGACTGAACCTCAGTGCAGCACCAATTGCAACCACAACGTTTAACAGCACAGGAGAAATGCTCTCTTCGGCAAAGCCTTTGGCCCAGCTCTCCTTGCAATTTACCTGGAAGAGCTCAGAGGAGTGTCCAAAGTCAGGCTCCTATCTTTTACCTGGGCAGCTAGGCAAAGGGTTTGATTGTCAAGGGCTGAGCAAGCAGCAGCTCTCAGTGGGATCTGAAAATTAGGCCATTTAATTAGATTCTAAAATATGTGGCACTACCGCTCATCTTGAAGCATACCCTGAAGTACACACCTATCATTTCTTTCAGGGGTCAAAGATACCAACAGCTTTTCCTCTACTCCAGGAAGGTAACAAAGTTTGATCACAAGTACTAGAAAGAGTTTCCTGTGTTAAACGCTTGTTTCTGTCATGTTTGTGCTCTTCTGCTCCCTCTGGCCATGCACAATCAATGCTATCATGTCATTAAGCCACTGAAATCTTTTGTTTGCTTGTTTGCCAAAGATGGCAAGGATTAAATATCTACGAAGTGGTTGTGCCTTATGTGAAAATACATGGTGTACACCCTTGTTTAACTTTAGAATTCAATACGAAAATCTGCATCTTCTGGTATAGCTTTAAGTTCAATAACAGGTTAAAAATCAGCTCTGCTCTCTATTCTTTGTCAGTCCCACCAAGAAAAGCAAAAGTATTTACAGCAGCTATGCTAGACAACCATGTTCCCTGCAAGCACATACAAACTAAATTGTGTGTTTCGGCACGGCTACTCCAGCGAGGATCTGGCCTGTTCAGCTCTGTGTCATCTAGGTTTCAAGAGAAAACTTGGCAAGGAACCTTGCCTGTGTCTTTAACAGCGAAACTGTTTTTAAGGACAATGTGTAAAATACTAGTTTAAATGCTACATTCACAGTCCTGCTCTGCAAACTGTAAACACAAGCTGATTAGCCCAAGACATTTTCCCCAATAATTAGAGTCATTCCTTCGTGGTTAAAAAAAAAAAAAAAAAAAAAAAAAACAAACCACCACCCAACACAAACCACACACACTTAAGGAAAAAAAAGTCATGTGGTATATTTTCAATGCTCTACATAGAGCTCTATGAATAATGTGGCTGTGCTAATTGGTACCCATTAGGACACGGAATCAGAATCCCACTGCCCCAAACAGACTGCCTTTTCCTGATAATTATAATGCTAGGAAGCAACCCCCCAACAATTTCAGGACTAATCACAGAGAATATTGTATATA